CCTGCCCCTCCTTCCAAAGGTGGTAAACTTGTGGTAAGCATGTTCCCAGCCTCAGCCATGTGGAATTTCTGATACGGTCAAGGAGCGCTCAACCGCCAGACTCCGTACACCAAGGCCGAGGTTTCATGGGAATTTCTGAGATCAACAAGCAGCCCAGGAGAGGGGGGTGGAAAATGCACCACCACAGTAGGAAGGAAATCAATCTGTTACAGAAGAAGTTGGGAGATGGAGGGAAGTGTAATTTTTAAAATGCGACATGTAACTTCAAGTTTACTAACGAGAAGACAGCATCTAGCACGAATTTCTGAACTGCGTCATTAGAGCCCAGCCGCACTGCAGCAAGGTCACCTTCACAGAACGGTGACTGCCCCATGGCACTGGCCCAGAGCACCCGTCATCGTAGACTAGCTTGGGCAAAACAAGAGGACAGAGAAAATTAGTTATTACAAAGATGGCATTTTGAGTGAGCCCACATCTGCTGCTGTTTTTTCTAATGTAGAAGCCAAGTCTCAGAGTAGGAGAGAGTTTAAGTGGAAGGAAAGAATAATTACAACTTCACTGTGGTAAAGAAGAGTAAAAAGATTTCAAAGACATCTAATGAGAGATCTAGACAGACTTCTAATGAACGCTTATGCAAGAGTGCAGTCAATATTTGTACCACTGATGCAAGAAAGTAGAGAAGTCGCAGGTACTTATGAGTCTGGGAGAAAGAAAAAATCCCCTGTAGCTGGCACTGCATTCAGAATGAGCTAAATAAAACTTCACACTCCACCTTGGAAAGAAGATGGAGAACCAGGGGAAATGGGCACCAGTTTATTCCAGATGCAACTACACTGCTTGTAGATAAGTGTAATAAAATTGGTGGAATTTAAATGAAGATCTAGGAGAAAGCCAAATGCCAAATTCCTATAGTAGCCAGTGGACAGTGGAAAAGAAATACAGCTTAGCATTTCAAGAGGTGAATTAAGAAAACATTAAGTCCATATCTGTTAAATCTGTAAAGTGTTGAAATAATTAATTACATCAGTGGAAACTGGCAGTCAAAAGTTCAAAAAAAAAGTTGATGCAAATACAAAATTATTGAAAAGATAAATAAGAACATTTAGCTTTGATCAAGATAAGCCTGATACATTACGGAAGGAATGATGGTTCAGTGTACTACTTTGATGCTGAGCTGCAACTGCACAAAAGCAGTTTCCATTGGATCTCAAGGAATGATGTAGCACCATCAAGAGTCCATAAAGTCTAGTGAAATAAAACTAAAACAGTGTGCCAAGGCTGTACAGCTTTATGATTAGGAAAACACTGAAACCAACATGTAGTGTAGCATCTAATTCAGTGTGGTGTGGCCATTTCCAACATGGTATTTTTCCTTCCTCGTAATAATTAGCCGGAGTAATTCAGTGTCAGCATATCATTGAAGCGAAGGACCTAGCCATATTTTCCTGTAAGCAACAATAGACAGCTATAATACTAAATATTTTTAAATGGATACAAAAGTTCTCTGCCCAAAATAATTTATTTGAATCGATTTGCAACAGTCACCTACAAAACACAGCATGGATTCTGGTCTACCTTCAAACTGCTTTGTGGAATTTCAACCTCTTCATCATTACAAGACTGGTCCTGAGAAATGTGACATACAAAATCGTCTTGTTTTCAGGCAACCTCTGGCTTTTTTTTTTTAAGTTGATGATGCTGGCCGCTGCAGAAACCATGAACGTGGATGGGATGGACATACCGAGATGGGATGGACACACTATGATCCGACACACTGAGAGCAATCACACGTCAAATTTAGAATTAAGGAAAACTGGTAAACTTAAACCTTTAAATCGGCTTTAAACTGAAACAGAGTAGATTTAGATTAGATATAAGGAAGAAATTCTTCACTCTGAGGGTGGTGAGGCACTGGAACAGGTTGCCCAGAGAAGTTGTGGATGCCCCATCCCTGGCAGTGTTCAAGGCCAGGGTGGACGGGGCTTTGAGCAAGCTGGTCTAGCGGAAGGTGTCCCCGCCCATGGCAGGGGGTTTGGAACTAGATGATCTTTAAGGTCCCTTCCAACCGAAACTATTCTATGATTCTATGATTCTATAAAGTTGTAAAGCTCTACTTGAAAACACCAGGTTAATAAACTGTCATATTATTTAACATCTACTGTTAGACATGTTTGCTTAACAGCTGTAATATCCTGCTTGGTAAGAGAGCAGGTGTTACTTTAGGCAACAGTTAGGTAATAGGCCCAGGTGACAAGTGCTAATTGTAGGCCTTAATAATGACCTATTTGGCACAAAAAGCTGTGTGCAAAGAAGAAAGGCAGAGGCCTGTTATGTCCACCCTAGGCACATTGGACCAAATCACCCTATAGCAGGGAAATTTGTAGACTTGGTGACAGGCTTGTAGAGTTACTGAGTTTTTCTGCTATAGTCCCAGGAAACTCTGTAAAAAAATGAAAATTGAGCACTTGTTTTTTTCGCAGGTTTAAAGAAATCTATGCCACAAATAACGTTCTCAATTTTAATACTGGGAACTGTAGTAAAGGCAAAAATATATCAGAAATGTACATACAATGTTAAAACTCCCCCACATTTTCTTCAGGAACAGAGCTTTGCTGAGACAACAGCTTAAAGTGTTGTAACTCTTCTGCCGTGTCTGAACTCTCATTCAAGACCTACAGTGGACTTCTGAACTGCGTGGTAAGTCTTAAAATATACTCTTAGCAGAGGATTTCTAAAACTTCCAAATCATTTAGCAATTTCATACAGCATTTTGTAAATCACTCTGAAAGATCTCTTACTTTATAAAAAATCGCAAAACGTGCAGTTCAGAGAGGCCACCTGGAAAACGTTCACAAGATTGGACCCTGTATAGCAGCAATTTTTCTAGAGGATACAGGAGACCCCTTGTGATTCCAGAGCACACAAGGCAGAAGAGGCATGTTCTTTTGTTACAGGGACAGCACTCTCTAATAAGAGGGAAAAAAACGAATATGTCACAGAGTCCCAGTAAATAATTCATCACATTATAACTTACGTTTATCTGCTTTAGGAATTTTCCCAAGCACATCCTGTGCTTAGAGCCTGAAAGAAGTTAACAAGTTGAAGGACAAAATAAGCCTATTACAGTGGTTACTGATACAGACTAACCTCTTACATCACTGTGCTTTAGCAGACCAACTTCTAGGCAGCAACTCTGAACCTCAAAAATTTTCTGAAATATGACTAGTTGGAGGCCAGCTTTGTAATTAGTGTTGCTTGATCCTCAATTCCTTATGGAAAGATTACCAGAACAGTTTAGAACGTGTCTGATATACAAGTAACAGACTGCAAAGGAACCCATTTGCTCCAGTTCTGGACTGAACTGGTGATGGTGACACAATTTTTAAATAAAGGAAAATACATCCAAGTCCCTCAAATAATCTAATCATTATAGAATAGACTAGACTAGTTCAGTTGGAAGGCACCTACAATGATCATCTAGTCCAACTGTGATGTACAGTTGGGACTAGATGATCTAGTATTAGTTGTACAGTGAACTCTAGATCTAAGTGGTGGCATGCAGACAGAATAAGCAAAAAGTATTTAAGCAAATTAATTTCCCTCATAATGAATTGTCAGTATCTTTCTACTGTATAGTATCCTGTGCACTAGAAAGAGTTAATAAAATCAATAGAGGAGTGGATTTTTAGTCTTGTAATTCCATTTCTTGAAGAGTAAGATACAGAAAAATAATGAACCAGACTCTGCTACTTTCACTAGTAATTTGCTCTGCAAAGCATTGTTTTCTTCACTGTATTATTAAGGGTATATGCATTACCCAGCTATACATTGTAAGAGGATCAATACAGAGCAGATAGCACTCACTTACAGTTAGAGCTTTCCCTTTTACTATGAGCAAAAATATCACTATTTAAGAGGGTTCTTTCCATTTGAGCTGAATCATCCAAAAAAAGAGATGGACCTGTTCACTGTAACAATATTCTTAAAGAATTTTTGTTCCTAGAACTAAATGAAAGGAAACACCTTTTATTGCAGAAACAATTTTAATAAGGTCAAAGCGTACAAAAAACTATAAGAATAAATGTTAGATGAACAGATTAAAGACTAATTGTGGCCTCACTGGACAATGTGTATTACATACCTCATTACTCATTTGAAAGAGATGCTTTTTTTTTTATTTTTTTAAACAACAGTTTTATAACTGTCCATCCTACATGCTTATTCTGTCCATTCTAGTGCTGCCCCAAATGCAGGAGTTGCATGTTTCAGAGGAGCCTGCAGCTAGAAAGGTTTAAACTATTTTTATTGATTCAATTAATATACTTTTTAACAAAACTTTAACAGGTTTTATTGGTTTTTAAAGCTTACTTGCAAGTCATGTTTTATAGGCAATATTCTACCACCTAGCTTTGGTAGTGGTTGATGTAACATTTTAAAGAGTATTTGCTATTCACACAATTTGCATTAGATGTTTGAAATACCATGACTGAAACAAAAGTTAATTTGTCCAAAAGGACAGTCAGAGAGGCTAAAAAGATATTTTAGAACAACCATCGAAAGCCTTTACTGTATCATAGTCACTTCAAGTGTTGTAAAGCAGTTTTCTACAATCTTTAGCTTTTCTTCAGAAAGCAGGTTTTCTTGCTTCAATTGTCCAATAAGAGCTTCCAAGGACCTGAGTCTCCCCAAAGTTTTTATCTCCTGCATTTCAAGTAGAGTTATCTTAGAGTGAAGCTTTGAAATTTTTTGCCAAAGGTGATCTCTGTCTATGTCTTGTTTGCAGTATGAATGCTCAGTTTGTAATACTTCACTTCCACCATATGGATTCATATATACAGGTTTATCGGTTTCTGTCTCCTCTGTGTCAAGAAACTCTTGCTTAATAGGCAGGAAAGAACTATTTACTGTTTCAGGCTTTTCTGGACTCTCAGCTGGCACAATAATAGCAATGACAGATTCTTCACTTCCACTGAACTGTTCAATAGTTTGTGTGACTGTACTCAGAAAAACTGCATTTTCACTAGGCTGTACTTCAACAGAGCAGCCTACAACATGAGAGTTAGGATTTTCAATTGCATAGTCAGTAATTGAACCTAAAGCATTTTTCAGTTTCAGAGATGAATTCAAGTAGTCAGGGTCTGTAAATTGCAAGACTGTGGCTGTACAACCTACTGGATCCTCTACAGAGGTATGAACATTGGTAGCTTCCACGCTCTGGACTGCTGCTGCCATTAAAATAGGATTAGGTTGATGTGTATGCTGCTTAGATGAATTATCAAGAACGACACTGTCTGCCTGAAAGTCTTCTCCGTTTTGAAGTTGCAGTTTTTGAATTTGTAAAGGTTTACTCAATGCAGTTGAGCAAACTACTTCTACTTTTCCATCTATGTTTTCTGCAATTACAGGATTTTTCTTTGGTGTACAAGGTTCAAGTGATACAGATGCTTTCTCTGACACTACATTTGTATTTGTTTCTTCCAGGTCTTCTCTCTTTATCTCTTGTGGGCTGTTGTGAGAAGAATCTTTTTCCTGGAGGAAAAAAAACCAAAACCAACCACCTTGTAACTAGGAAATCAGTTGAGCATAAAAAAAATTGTGCAAATCTCATTCTATAGCACGGTACTGCATAAGGAGTAATTTAGATGAGCACTGTTCAAAAATTACACCAGAGACCTGAAAATTCATGTAAGCGTCTTCCATAACTTTGCTTCAGGTCCTAAATGTTAGAATACTATTTTAAAGTTCTAAAGGCAATAATACTTTTTTTTTTCTTTTTCAAACTCCAAGAAACTTTATTGATTTACCTGAGTCATCGCAATTTTAAAAGCACTTGAAGACAAATCTGTCTGACAAAGACTGGCTAGCGTCTCCTATTACCACCCGAAACATTGTATTAAATATATGTATATTAAATATACACAATACAAGATTTTTGCATTAAAGATGCAACAAAGTTGTTTTAGAAAGATACAGCAAATTTTTAGTCATGCGGTCTACAACAACAACAAAAACATTATGAACACAGGCTTGCAGAATAGTGAAACATATACATGCACAATGACATAGGCTGATTTTTAAACGAGCAACAAAATTCTGACAAATAAACTTTGCAATTCATAAAAAAGGAGAACTTTTTTTTGGATGGATAAAAATCTTAGCAGAAGGATACAATTTTAACAGCACTTTAAACAGAAGTTGTTACTGAAAGAGGGACAATTTGAAGCTTACCCTTTTTTAGCTGCCTTCTCTTCCCCTCCTCCACATAAACTACATCATCACGATTAGATTTAAGATCAGTATCCAAACAAGCTTTTTAGTATGTCAGTCAGTGAAACAAAAATACACTAATAGTCAGTGTCTTATTTTTTTCTAGTAGGCTTGATTATGAAGAGACCAAGCTGTACTCATGTTAGGCCTGTGGACTAAAAAACAAAACCAAAACCACCCAGAACAAACAAACAGAACAAGAAGCAACTTTAACTTTGCTAACTAAATATAGGCCAGGCAAAAAAACCAGGATAGGTGGGAAAAAAAGAAAAAAAAAAAGAAGGGGGGAAAAAAAAAAAAGAGGCCAGGCTGAAAAAACAGATCATGATGGAAAAGATAATTTCAAAGTGTATGTTCATAAAAGTATGTATGTGGTCTGAAGTATCCTGTCCTGGTTTCGGCTGGGATAGAGTTAATTTTCTTCCTAGTAGCTGGTATAGTGCTGTGGTTTGGATTTAGTATAAGAATAATGTTGGTAACACACTGATGTTTTAGTTGTTGCTAAGTAGTGCTTACTCTAGTCAAGGACTTTTGAGCTTCCCATGCTCTGCCAGGTGCACAAGAAGCTGGGAGGGTGCATAGCCAGGACAGCAAACCCAACTGGCCAACAGGGTATCCCATACCATATGATGTCATGCTCAATATATAAACCGGGGGGAGTTGTCTGGGAAGCAGGGATCACTGCTCGGGGACTGGCTGGGCATTGGTCGGCAGGTGATGAGCAATTGTATTGTGCATCACTCAGTTTGTATATTCTATCATCATTATTATTATTATTTTCCCTTCCTCTTCTGTTCTATTAAACTGTCTTCATCTCCATCCACGAATTTTACTTCCCCTCCCAATTCTCTCCACCATCCCACCGGGAGGGGTGGAGTGAGCGAGCGGCTGTGTGGTGTTCGGCTGCCTGCTGGGTTAAACCACAACATATCCTAAATACATTAAACTTGTAATTCGATTTTACATGAAACTTCAGTCTTAAAAGGACTGAAAAATGTATACAAAAATAGAATTCATTTGGTCACCTTTATCTTTTCAAAGGTGATACTTAATATCACATCAATCTTAGGGATTTTGAGAGAATGAAGTATTTCCCTTTCTCTGTTCTACCAGCAGCTGAAAAAGACCTCAGACTAAATATTTTAACTAGACATGAAATAAATTAGGGAAATGTCCCCCAAATCCTTGCCTACCAGAACTGCCATTAAGGCTGAAGGAAAGGCACCAAAACACCTCTCAGGATAGAGCTGCTTGAAGATAGACCTTTACTTTCATTGAAAAGCTTCCTTGTCCATCAGACCCTGCCCTCACAGTCTTATGACAGTCTTCAAAATAAAAATCCTTGCAAACTAATGTAGAATGGTTACCGATATTGAAATGCAGGCAACTAACACTACTCTTGAGACACAAACATTCTTTATTTAGAAGAAGAAATAATATGAAATCTTTCCTGAAGAATCATTAAGCATTTCTGGGAAGATATCCTTCACTTGCTCCGTAATACATAAAGCAAGGTGGTGATGAACAATACGCAAATATTGCAACTCCTTGCTCTCAGCTTTCCAAACCAAGGGTTTATAGACAAATGTTGAAAGGCAGCTTGGGACCTTAGCTTCTTGTTCCTCTACATTAACTCAGGAACACACTAACAAGGGATTCTCCCCCAGAATAAGGAGAGCTCCTTCCCCCGTCTTTGTGAACATTCAGTCTATGTAGAAAATTTGGGTTTAGGGCAACTACAGAACCAGTGGCCAAGTCGATGGATATTGTTGATTTGCTGAGGTGGTCACTGACAAGATGTCTTGATGTTTAGAAAAGTGCAGTCAGAAGCATGAGATTAAAAAAAATAATGCCAGAGAGAGAAGTGAGACCCCAGGAAAGCAAGTTCACAGTATCACGGATATGAAGAACTGGCATCTCTTTTCTTTTGATAGCAGGGAAGTGATGGATACATTGAAAGGAAGCATAGAATATTCTTTTTCCAAACTGGATAAATCTATCTGGGATTTCCCAGATATATATTGCTGATGCAAAAGTAATTTAGAGAAGCCATTGGTATGCTCTTGGCAACACCACTGCATAAAAAGTTTGTTACCCTCGTAACTCTACTGTCCATCTTTGTAGGTATACTATGACTGGTCTATGGTCACATGCAAAACAAGAAAGAATGAAAAGGAGGGAAAAGCCAACTTTTCTTTAGGGGGAAATCACATAGTTTATCTGTAATTGCACGGAAGCACAGGGCAGCAAAATCCAGTTTCAAAGGTAGGGCTCCCTGTTGCAATAACAGCATAGGGAAGTGAGGGATATATTGAAGCAGGGTGGGGGAGTTGGAAAGAAAGATATTTATTACTAAGTTAATACTGCCATAAATTGCAAGATTTTCTATTTTTATATTTCAGAGATTTATCAAGATTGCTTTTCACTCTACAGAGTCAAAAGCCGTCTGGACAACACTTGAAGCTATCCAAGAAGACAGAGAACTTCATGACTAAAAATAAGTTGTTTTGTAAAATTAATTAGCCACACATTTCAGTTTCAGCAATTTAGCCTTAATTCCAGTCCTTCCATTTCTCCCACCTCCAACATGATGATCCAGAGGAAGATAGTTATGGGCGAGAAGAGAATTAGCATAGTTTTGATCAAGATTAGGTGCCTGTGTAGCACAGTATTTTTATGTAACCAATAGTACAAGTCTGTGAAAGAAAAGATGGAATAGTCTGTGTGTGATATCTTTAACAGCCTACACTCCTGAGTTCTTAGGTGTTGGAGAGGTTAGGGACAGGAAAGAGAAATGTGTGGTTTGAAACCAATACATTCGAAAGCCAGTATTTATGTACAGTTAATAAAAGGCCTTAAAAGAACATTAAAATATTAATTAAGAGTAATTGCACAGGAAAAAAATATTTAGAATCATAATATTCTCATAGGAATTTATTTTCCCATGGAAAATTTCCTATCGGAAATGCTTCTGTAATTTCCAGTTAAAAAAGATATTGAACCTCCAGTCAAAGTATGGGAAGTTGTTCTTCCTTTACACTATGGAATCACATACTCGTTTTGTGTCAGTCCCATTGACAAAATATTTCGATGGATGGGAATTCTGTTTTTAAAATAAAATATGAATATATTACAAATAATTAGAACATCTGTATCACATAAATAGTTGGTTAGCTTTGTACAATAAAAAAGATAGGAATACGTTACCTCATCACCTGGAGAAGAGAAAATTGTTGGTACAGCAGTATGTTTCAGGTATCGTATACCCCATCGCACATCAAGGGAATCGGGGGTAAAATGATCACTGCATAGAAGCTGGTGCTTACTTGGAGTCCATGCATCTCGTTTCATATTCCGCAGCCATTTCTCAAGTCTCTCTTTATCATGAAGTGGAAATCTTTTTTAAAGCAGTTGAAAAAAACAAACAAAAGCACAGACAAAAAACCTTTTTCTTTCTTTCTTTCTTCTTTTCAAATAAAGAATATCTCATTGTTCCTTACAAGGTAGCCTTTCCTTACAAAAAGATTAAAATAATCCTTTAAAAAAAATGTTAAATATGAAATGCTAATCAGGATGTCACTTAAACATTAATCCAATAATTATCCAAATTATTTCTCATTGGATATTTGCTCCAGAGTTCAGCAGCAGAATTTCTGTTGATTTCTGCTGGCCAAGATGTTTTAAAAGGCTTGATCCTGCAACACTTGCTCAGAAAGTAGTTCTGCTGAAGTCAGACGAAATACTCTGACTTCATTTAAAAAAAGTTAGGTCTGGTCCTCATTTTAGAAATAGTATTTGTGGAGCTTTTTTGTCTTACTAGACACAATTAGTAAGAAAACCTTTTGTTACTGTTTTTTGTTTAACAGAGTGTCTCTTAATGTATGTCATACTTCAGATTATCTGATAACTTGGAAATGTGAATATTTCCAGTGCAAGATTCAAATTCTGTTCAAAAAGTAAATACACACAAATGCAAAGCATTTCTATATTTTGTGTTTCAGCAATTAAGTTTTCGTACAGCGTTGAGAGCCCATTCAATATTATGTGATCCGTGACTAACTTTTCAACCATCTAACCCACTTCAAAAGGAAAATAAAGAGTGTACACGTTCATAAAAAAAAATTAAATCAATTTTGAAAATATATGCGAACTGTCAGATAAATTACATGGGAAAGAGAACTAAATTAAAAGAAAGCGTGTGAAGATATGTAATTTACTTAATGAATCATGATACACAAATTAAAGGGAAATTAAAGGCTCATTATGATGCATGTACCGTCAAGCTGTTATGGTAATGGCAACATGAACATTCAGACCACTATTGGTTCTCATCTCTTACCAGACAGATATCAGGGTATTTGAAATGTGCTGACAGATTTCCCTCGTGCATATCTTTCTTTCAACTCTAGCATATAAACACATACGATACATAAACCACAACTTGAATTCTGAGCACTGTTAAATGACTACTGTTAAGAAAGCAATATTCCTTAGAATCATGAACAACAATAATTAAAAAAAAAAACAACTCTGCTTTTGGGTATATGAAACGGTGAGAGACAGATTCATGTAGTCATTAAACCTGACCTGATCATAACCGTAGGATGTAAAAATTATTAGCTGTTGGCAGTATGATGGACAACAGAAACATCGAGACGTGAACAAGTGCCTACAGACTCTTTACAAGAACCATTTTATTTTACTCCCTAAATAGAAATGGGGCATTCCTAATTCCATTTCTCTTGCCTTAGCTCTTTTTTCCTTTTAATTAATAATCGGTTCTTTTCGTAATGTTTATTACCATCTGTTAATGGAACTTCAATGCACAAAAAATTTGGTTCTGCAGTGAGGTATTCCCACACAACAGAAGCTGGGGAGAGAGCCTGGAATGCCCAGTGTCACCCGAATGCTACGAAAGACACCAGTCAGTTGGGCTACTTCTTGGCAAACCTTAGATCCCACCCTCAAACCTCTGAAGCTGCAGGTTTCCCCAAAAGCCGCACATGGCAATGACTCGCTTATGCAGGTCCACAGTGTTCCAAAACTGCAAACTTAGCTGATTTTGAGAGAAAGATACCTGAAATTCACAGGATAAATGTGCATGTCTTCACCCCCTCCCCAATCTTTTGAATTTGTTGCCATTTGAGTTTTGAAGTTACCAAGGAAACAGAGTAAGCTTTTGATGCATCTGGCTCCGAGTGTCTGCAAGAATGCAAGGAATAATGCTAGCAAGAACACGATAACCTCTCAAGGACAGGTTGGAGGTTCAACCTTTTCAAATCCTGCCTACTTACTGTACAGCCAATAGCAGCATTACACATACTCCACAGCACGCCCCACGAGTAACAGAGCTTAGCCTGGGATGTTACTACACAGGTCCAAAGAAGGCTCTCAGTAAGAGGATGGCTTCTTTCGATTGAAGGTCATGTTATCAATCGCACCCTCTCCAAGAAGGGCTTGAGAACATTTGCTTCCACTGCCGTTACCCTTGCACCACAGCACTCACTGCCTTCCCCACAGTCAGCCTGCTTCAAACGGGAAACAAAACAATCTGTAGTGAAAGACAATGTCTGGTAGAGAAATTTATTATTTTAGCTTAAGGGCAACTTTGCCAAAACCTGCTCCTGCTCTCAATATCCCCTTACTCATCATCAGAATCTGTTGTCTGGTGTAAACAAGACAGAAAAAACGGAAAATGGAAAGAGGAAGCGAGCAGAATTTATTCAGGAGCTCCCATTGCTGTACAAGTCAGAGAGATGAAGAAATAAAACAAAGAAGGGCAGTTAGGCCAGCTGAGATTAAGTTGCAGTAAAAAAGTTCAGAAGGGCTCAGACCCAAAACCACAGAGCAGCAGAGGGTGGTGGTAATAAGCAAGGTAATGAAACCTGCAATTCACATCAGTAGTAGCTGCTAATGTAGGGCAAGAGATCTCTATAAATCAAATCTCAGCACCCCTTCTACAGGACCACGATACTCGTAATGCAGCAGAATTCAATGGCTAGATAAAACAGCTGTGTTTTTGCAATCATCTTTATGCTGATGCCATACATTTGAATATAAATATGTATCAGCACTCAAACTTGTTTTGATCATCCATATGGCACTCACATTCTCTAAAGCAATATAAATAATTTCCCCTCATTTTCATGATTGTTTTATGATGAATCACTTATTAAGAGACACGCCAGGAAGAAGAGCTTTCCTTCAATCTAAACTAAAATCCCTTTCAAAGCAGTCTTCCTACATAGCCTTCCTGATGTTGGAATAACAATGACTACTCAGCAACTGAAACAAACTGCCAACTTAGTTTGAGGTATAAATTTTACCAAAACAGATTTTGAGGTTAGTTGTGAAATTTATTCTTCAAATTTTTCTTAAATGCTACACAATTCCTTCTGTTGACAAACGCTTATCATACTTTTATTCAACAGAAATACATTAATATTTAGTTATCTGCACTGTGCTCCTCTCAGGGTTGAGAAACACTGTTTTTAACTCACCATCCTGGGAGTCAACAGCCACGTAACCGCAACAGTAGAGAGGCTACTGCGGGCCTGGGATGGTGACTAATCAATCCGGTGGCCGGATAGTACTATGCAGCCACCATAAACTGGTTTTTGCCACTGAAGCCAGTTAGCTTCCAGCTAGCTCAGCTGCCTCCAAACAAACCAGCAATGCCTCTGTTTGCAGCATAGGCAAGATAATAATTCTAGTGGCAGTACTTAATTCTAAAGAATCAATATATGTTTACTTTCCTACACTGTTAGGCCCTTCGCTTAGCTTGCAAGCTGTCAGATAGAGGATACTCAGCTCCTTCACCATTAAGCCAATGCCTCCACTACTGCTGCCCCTGCTGAAACACCCCTTCCACAAAGCCAGCCACGCTTGAAAAAAACGGGGTAACCGGTTCTAACAGCTCTTAGCTGTTAGCTCTAACAGCTTACTTAGCTCTAGCAGCTAAACAGCCTCATGGTTATAGGTGCAAATTTTATTTTTTAGTCGAATCTCCTTGGTTTTCACTTCATGAATCCTCTGCTCCTACCCAAGAGCCCTTCGGGGCTGCTGCACGCCCCCCCGCCTAAGCAAGCACCGTCCGTCTTCGCGGGGGTTGACGACATACTCAGCCTGTCGACCCCTTTTCCCTACGCCTTCCCGCCCCAGGGACGAGAGCGGTATTTCCCTGCAGCCACTGGGGACCAGGCAGGGTTCAAAGGCGACCACCAGCCCCTGAAGTTAGTTTCTCGGCCACTTACC